TAAAATATCAAACATTTTAAATGTCTCTAAATGTAGATGGCAACCAATTTTCATCTTTTCCAATTACACTGACATATTTACATAATTTAAAACAGTTGTACATTCGCTCTAATAAAATTCATGGATCACAGAGTCAGATTTTATAATGCTTAAGAGATTAAGAAGGACCGAGATTTTTGTTCGTGGAAATCCTATTATAACCTGTGATTGTTTACACATCCAATCACTCAGATTGATGAAAGAAATTCAGTACTTGTTTACAGATCTCAATGAAACCGTATGCAGGGAAAAGAATATAACAGTGTTAGAACTGCTAACAGAAAGGGCGTTTGCAAAATTTGAGAAAAATTGTCAGACAGGAACTTGGCTGGTCGTCTCTTTTTCCATATTAACAATTTTAACTGTTGCAATCACTGTCGTTTTCCTTGTGAAAAAATATCGTGTTCATGTTATGTTATTCTGAATTTACGTAGCAGATGGAAAGGCGTTTATTCCGTCGAAAGTGGGGACTTTCAGTTTGATGCTTTTATATCTTATGCTGAAGATGACTACAGAATTGTAAGCACTACATTATATCAAACGCTAACACAAAGAGGATTTCAGATAAGTTTTCCGGATAAAGATTTCATTCCTGGAATATCCAAAGCAGATGAATTGCTACGGTGTGTTGACAAAAGTAGAAAAGTTGTGTTTATTATCACTGAAAACTTTCTTGCAAATGGTTGGAATTCATACGCCGTCCAGATGACGGTAACTCATTCGTTTCATATAATCGAAAACAATCCATCATAGTGATAATTAAGGACGATATAACCATACAAAGAATGCCAAAAGACTTACGATATATCTGGTGGTCCATTGTGAGTATAAGGTGGCCAGAAGCAAGTGAACTGATGGACCAGTTTTGGGATGAACTTGATCGTGCCTTAAAATCGGTTTAAATTGCTATGATACATGTAGCTGTTGTAAATTAATGTGATTTTCCCAAAACCTAGCAAAATGCAACAGGCAGGAATTTTAAGCGTTGTTTTAATGCTTTTTTGATGGCAATATGCCTCTGAATGATCTTTTTGCATTTCACTTGTATTTGAAATTTGTTCTCTTTATTTGAAAGAAAATTTCATGAAAAATTTCTTCTGTGTTTTGAAAAAATAAAACAACAAAATTAATAAAAATTGATTATTGGAAATTATGTGTGTGGCTTCTCTTTTTTTGTACATATTATATGAACGAGCAAGTGGAAGGACAGTCGATTGATATGAGATTACATCATTTGGTAAAAATTGTAACAGTGAGAAGAAAGAAAGGCATACTGTAACACCATCAAGTTTTTCTGCTTGGTGTTCAAAAGTCCTACAAAATGTATGGCACTCCAAATTCACAAAAATGAGCTAAACCTAGTTTCAAAATTGACAAAATAGGTTTATCGACTGTAAACTATAGTTTACAAACCGTAAACTACAGTTAACGATTCGTTAAGTATAGTTTTCATCTGTAAAACTATATTTAACGGTTGTTAACTATAGTTTACGAATGCTAATCTAAGTTTATCTGTCTGTAATAAAACATTAACAATAGATTTTGTTGATAAACATAGATTCACGTCTGTAAGCTATAATTTACGATCGTTAACTAAGAGTTGTAAACCATAGTTTACAAATCATGAAACTGTATTTATCAGATAATCTATGTTTTGCGATCGCAAATGATCGATTGTTTTTGGTGTTAAGTATAATTTATGGTTGTGAAACATAGATTATCACGTTAATTATGGTTTACAGATGTAAAATATAGATGAGCGTTGTTAACTATAGTCAACAGTCCGTAAACTATAGTTTACAACCGATAAACCTAGTTTATCGATTGTGAAAATATGACTAGCTCATTTTTGTGAATTTGGCGTGCTAAACATAGTTTCACAATTGATAAACTAGGGTTATCGACTGTAAACTATAGTTTACAAATCGTGAACTATAGTTTACAATCCGTTAACTATTATAGTTTTCATCTGTAAAACTATATTTAACGGTTGTTAACTAAGGTTTACGAATGCTAATCTAAGTTTATTTGTCTGTAAAACGTTAACAATAGATTTTGTTGATAAACATAGATTCACGTCTGTAAACTATAATTTACGATCGTTAACTAAGAGTTGTAAACCATAGTTTACAAATCGTGAAACTGTATTTATCAGATAATCTATGTTTTGCGATCGCAAATGATCGATTGTTTTTGGTGTTAAGTATAATTTATGGTTGTGAAACATAGATTATCACGTTAATTATGGTTTACAGATGTAAAATATAGATGAGCGTTGTTAACTATAGTCAACAGTCCGTAAACTATAGTTTACAACCGATAAACCTAGTTTATCGATTGTGAAAATATGACTGGCTCATTTTTGTGAATTTGGCGTGCTAAACATAGTTTCACAATTGATAAACTAGGGTTATCGACTGTAAACTATAGTTTACAAATCGTGAACTATAGTTTACAATTCGTTAAGTATAGTTTTCATCTGTAAAACTATATTTAACGGTTGTTAACTAGGGTTTACGAATGCTAATCTAAGTTTATTTGTCTGTAAAACGTTAACAATAGATTTTGTTGATAAACATAGATTCACGTCTGTAAACTATAATTTACGATCGTTAACTATAGTTAAGATTTGCAAAGCATAGTTTACAATCGTGAAACTGTATTTATCAGATAATTAATCTGTTTTTCAATCGCAAATGATTGTTTTTGGTGTTAAGTATAGTTTACGATTGTGAAACATAGGTTATCGTGTTAACTATAGTTTACAGATGTAAAATATAGATGAACGTAGTTAACTATAGTTAACAGACCGTAAACTATAGTTTACAACCGATAAACCTAGTTTATCGACGACTGTGAAACTATGATTAGCTCATTTTGTGAATTTGGCGTGCCATATAAATGGTCAGAGTTTTTTTAAACTTGATTCGCGGTTAGAAAGGTGTCCATAGTCCATATCTATGCCCGTGACTGGTTGACGATATCGGGGGGGGGGGGGGGGGGGGGTTCAAATCAGAATGCTTTATTCCTCCTGGCTGCAGGTTTTGGTGTGCATCATGTCAAGAAAACTTTTACACAAGTACACTTCAGTAAGACATGTTTTTCTGTTGGTCTTTTTTTTTTATTAGTATACCAATGAAGGTATTGTCACGGTTACTTAATTAAAAGAGTTTTGTTGAAATTTTTCTAAAACTCTGCTTCTGCACTTTTTGTCTTCAAATACATGTACGGCCGAAACCATCACACATGTCATGGGCGGATACAGGATTTGTGATTGGGGGGAGGGGGAGGGTAACTTCGTTCAGACAGGTGGTCTGAGAGCCGCCTTAACGTCCCTAGTGGGTCCAGGGCAAAGCTCTGGTGGGGGCCCAGTGGGCAAAGCCCCTGGAAGCTCCAGGATTTTTGTGTATTTTAAGAGTAAAACCAGGAATAATGATAGTTGTATTGGTTAGTTATGTATCAAATTATTAATATTAGTCATATCATACTTTGAATGGAGGGGGGCCGGGGGGGGGGGCATTGAAAAAATTGAAGTCATTTTATAATGTTTATCGAAAAAAAATTGGTTATCCTTAACGTTTTATTCAGTTTATTTTGTATAGTAAAACTTTCACCCAAAATAAGAAACAGATGTACATTTGTACGTGTCAGACCCTGCGAATAGCACAGTACATGCATCTTTTTTAATGGATTGTATGACATTGAGAGCCTGGGTGACAAATGCTGGGAATAGAGAATACAAACTTCTCAGTCTTTTTTAAATGAAATTTCATGAATAGAAAAGCATTTTTAAAAAGTGAATTCCAAACTTTTTAGGTAGGACATTTTTTTTCTTTCCAGAGCAAGCAATTTGAAGACATTATTATCATTTATTCCTATAACTGTTCAAAAATAATCCGAGGAAAAAAAAGAAATTTTCCTACCAAATAATGGACAAAGAAGATGGGGAAACAAGGCGTGCAGAATGCCTATGGCTTCAGAGATTAAGAAATCATATTCGATTTGTGAATTGAGTATAAGTTCTCATTATGAAAATTTATGAAATTTTTAGGGGGAAAACCTTTTCTGAGAGAGAAAAAAAGTCTCAGAAAAAAATGTTCTTTTACAAAATATAAAATGGTATTCCTGGGATTTTAACTCCAGAGTACGTATCATACTGTTTTGAAACTAAAGCGCTAACCAATACGCTATAATGTTTTGTCATAAAAGTGTACTTTTTTAAAAAGGTATAATGGGTCTTTGCTCCATGTTTTTGTAAACAAAAAAAGTTATATTTGATTGCAAACTTTTAGGATTATCTTTCAAAAAAATGGAGCGAAGACCCACTCATATTGAAAAATTTTGTTAAAGAATGAGAAATTGATCATTTTTGTTCTCTTTAGTTTGTGTATGCTTTTTCATAGGCAGACTATTTCAGTCTTTTTTGAGATTTTTGTAAATAATAGAGATTTTGCATTAAGTATATATTATACGTTATTAACGTTAGATGAAATATCAAAGAAAATTTAGATATATATATATATAATTGAGGTCTAATTTTTTACTTCATGTTTGTCGCACTATAGGCACTTCGTCCGCCTTAATTATCCCCCATCTTCTTTAAATCTCCATCATAGCAAAAATGAGACTTGCAGTCATTTAAAAAAAATAATTCTAATTTATTTTATTTTTAATTATTTTTTTTAAATTTTTGATAGTGTTCAGTTACATGCGTTTACAACTCTAAACATGGTACTTCTTATAACACTTAAAGGGTACAAAAATATTAATCAATACAAACGAATGGAAGAGTAGAAGAAACCATAAAATATTGACAGTGGTGTCCCCAAAAATTTTTAGATCCGGGAATTTGATCGACACCGGTCCGTAATTTGTAGTTTTTAAACATTGAGTTGACGCAGATGGAAAACCGTGTTCGGCTTTGAAAATAACTTTTACAAAAGTCTTTTTTTTCAATAGATCTTAGTTTTTTCTTATTTTAAGCAATGTATCATTTCTTCAAGGATTAAAAGTAGTTTAAAAGCGCAATGGATGAAGATCTAGATGTAATACAATCCTGATACTTCTGAGTTCAACAAAAAATGAAAGAAGTTTTAGAGGTAATTCGAGATTGTTTACTTTTGTGTTTTAATTCTTTACAATATGCCGGAATATAGCATTAAATTGCAATGCTGATGTTTAACTATATGTGCTACTATAAAAGCAATATTTATTTTTTTTTTTTGTTGAAAAATTAATTTCACTTCAATTTTTTCCAGAGTTAGATTGCAGTTGAGAGGGAAAAAACCTTGGATTTCCTTCAGTTCAACTTGGTAAATCCAGGAAGGATCTTTAAAATATTGAATTATTTTTTATCAACAATAAGCCAGGAGTATGTTACCAGAAAGGAAAACCAAAGTGGATCAGTTGATCCGGATTATGGATCATGAAGGGCCAGGAGGAGCTTATGAGCAGGAGTACTGTATCTGTCGCTCCAAAGACTGTAGTCGATTTATGATGTATGCATTAGCCTTTATTATTGAAGCATCTTCTTCCTTTTTTAATTATATCAACTATGAAACTGATTGTAATGCCTTTTTGAGTACAGTCATGCACATTATGCATTTAGAAGCTTGCTATTTTAATGACATAATGTGGTAGTAAGATTACTATAATAAAGGATGTTTATTATAATATGTGACTTAAAGTGTGTATTTTTCTTAGTTGTTTTCATTTATATCTTTTGCTTTCTTTCACCAACAGTGGTTGTGACAACTGTGAAGAATGGTACCATGGAGATTGTATTGGAGTCACCCAGAAAGATGCCGAACTTATAAAACACTTCTACTGCACTTCTTGTAGACGTGAGAGATAGCTTTGATTTTCATATTTTCATATAAATCTCAGAAGAATGCTGGTCAGCATTGCTCTATTTAACATGTTTAAAACTTTAATTGAGGGACTTAAAAGATGTCAATCTCAACCAAAAATTTAATGTTGTTGGGGTACCTGTATTATTGTATGCATTTTGTTTTTCTGAAGTGGAAAAAAAAACTGTTTACAGTTTTAAGCATATTTAGACGTGTGCTTATAAAGAAAGTAATCATTGAAAAACAGAAGGAATAAATAGCATATCCACCATTTGTCAGCATCTTTAATCATTTAACACATTTGTTAACATATAATTCAACTATCTATTTCTTTAAAAGTATGTGCATGAATATGATGTGCATTGATAATAGTACTGACATTTACATTATATTTTAGAACACGATCCAAGTCTGGAAATCAAATACAAACACAAGAAAAGTTCCAAGGAGAAACACTCCTCTCACAAACATTCATCACATTCTGACAGAGAATTCAGAAGCAGAGATGTAAGTTGTTGTTTTCTTTTTAATTTCAACATGTTTGATTTTGAAGAAGCAAGTTGTTGCATTTTTAAGAAAATTACTTTCAGAAAGGAAAATTAAAGACACTGTTAATAACTAGGATGTTTTTATTATTTTTCTCTTTAAAATAATAGAAATATAAATTTATGTGAATGCACAGATTGAAATTTTTAGTTTCTTCTGCATTTCTTTCTAGGATTCTAGTAGTAAGAAGAAGTCATCGCGACGTTGTGGGGAGTGTACAGCCTGCCACAGAACAGAGGACTGTGCACGATGCGACTACTGTAAGGTATGTTTACATTAGACAGAACAGAGGACTGTGCACGATGTGACTACTGTAAGGTATGTGTACATTAGACAGAACAGAGGACTGTGCACGATGTGACTACTGTAAGGTATGTTTACATTAGATAGAACAGAGGACTGTGCACGATGTGACTACTGTAAGGTATGTTTACATTAGACAGAACAGAGGACTGTGCACCATGTGACTACTGTAAGGTATGTGTACATTAGACAGAATGGAGGACTGTGCACCATGTGACTACTGTAAGGTATGTGTACATTAGACAGAACGGAGGACTGTGCACGATGTGACTACTGTAAGGTATGTGTACATTAGACAGAACAGAGGACTGTGCATGATGTGACTACTGTAAGGTATGTGTACCTTAGACAGAACGGAGGACTGTGCACCATGTGACCACTGTAAGGTATGTGTACCTTAGACAGAACAGAGGACTGTGCACGATGTGACTACTGTAAGGTATGTGTAACTTAGACAGAACAGAGGACTGTGCACGATGTGACTACTGTAAGGTATGTGTAACTTAGACAGAACAGAGGACTGTGCACGATGTGACTACTGTAAGGTATGTGTACATTAGATAGAACAGAGGACTGTGCACGATGTGACTACTGTAAGGTATGTTTACATTAGACAGAACAGAGGACTGTGCACCATGTGACTACTGTAAGGTATGTGTACATTAGACAGAATGGAGGACTGTGCACCATGTGACTACTGTAAGGTATGTGTACATTAGACAGAACGGAGGACTGTGCACGATGTGACTACTGTAAGGTATGTGTACATTAGACAGAACAGAGGACTGTGCATGATGTGACTACTGTAAGGTATGTGTACCTTAGACAGAACGGAGGACTGTGCACCATGTGGCCACTGTAAGGTATGTGTACCTTAGACAGAACAGAGGACTGTGCACGATGTGACTACTGTAAGGTATGTGTAACTTAGACAGAACAGAGGACTGTGCACGATGTGACTACTGTAAGGTATGTGTAACTTAGACAGAACAGAGGACTGTGCACGATGTGACTACTGTAAGGTATTTGTACATTAGACAGAACAGAGGACTGTGCACGATGTGGCCACTGTAAGGTATGTGTACCTTAGACAGAACAGAGGACTGTGCACGATGTGACTACTGTAAGGTATGTGTACATTAGACAGAACAGAGGACTGTGCACGATGTGACTACTGTAAGGTATGTGTACATTGTATATGTATGTGTTTAATCAATTTGTAATGATAGGTGTGAAGTGTCCTATTAAGGACTTGAAAACACATTCATAATTGCTTCTAGTTACATTCTCAGAATTTTTTTTATGGTGACAATAACTGGCTATCACCAGTGTGTCATTTTTCTGATCTAACTAGATCAGAAACTTCCCAAAATTAAGATTCTTTGCTTTTTTATGGAATCTTTTCATCAAGGATGGAGATGATTGAATAAATTTGGGATGTATTTTACATGTCTTATGTCTGATATGAAACAGTTGTACTGAGTTGAAATTTGATGGTTTTCATTGTCAAACTTTGGTCTTAAATGGATATGTACAGTGTGAAATGTACATGCAATGTACTTGTTCTCATTAATTATTCTTTGTATTTAATTTTAACAGGACATGAAGAAGTTTGGAGGGCCAAACAAGATCCGTCAGAAATGCAGACTACGACAATGCCTCAATTTCGTATGTCAATAATACTGTAAACCAACTTTTATTCGCGTGTGAGAAATATTTACCAGTTTCGCAACCTAATTAAAGTCGCGAATATATAATGCCATGAACTATTTATTTTGCTTTGTTTTTGTAGAAAATGTTTCCTTATTCATGAAAATTAATCATAGCAGATTGATTTCAAACTGAAGAATCCCAAATAAAAGATAACACGAATAATAGTTGATTTACAGTATTTCATAGACCTCAAATTATTTAATATTGTAAACACAGCAGTAATAATTAACAACCATATATTTTAACAATTAGTTTTTTAAAGAGAAAAAATGTATGTAAACTCATATTTTGTTATGAATATACCAATATTATCTACTTTAACGCCATATGGATTTGTTCCAGAAAGGGGTATTTAAAATTCTATAATTTGATCTAATGATTACTAAGAAAAAAAATATAATATAATCCATCTTTGAGCAGGAAAAACTTTTTTTCAGGGTTTAAATATGATGAATAAAAAATCCATGGAAAAACAAGAGTGTGTTCTGACCACCGAAACAGAGTCTATCAGGACAGAGTATTACAGGTAAGATTTTAATTAACACTCACCTGGATTTCAGCATCCATAATTCTGTGTTTTTGCATATATCTGACAGATTTAGTAACAGAACTTAGTTATTAATCAGTGTGATTGTATGGTGAATTGCATCCTACTTCCGAGTTTACATTTTTATGTCCCACCATGAATTTTGGCCAGGGATAGTGTTTGTCATGCCCATCTTTTGTCCTTCCATCTTTCATCCATCACCGTATGAGTGGAAATTTTAGCAAGATTCGAATTGAGCAATTTGTAGTATAAAAAATGGTATTTTATTTTTAGCGAGAGGTAACTTTAGGGATTTTAAAATGTTCACTAAAGAAGCTATTACAAAAACAATGGAATTAATTTTTAGCGATATTTAATTCTTGCGATCTCAGAACCCTCTTGAAGTATCCCCAAATTAAATTCTCAGTAAATTTCTGCTTATATGGTTTGTTAGCAAAACTTATGCACAGACCTGTATTGATAAGAGCTAATAATTTCTATCTTGACCTTTCCTGTGACCATGACCTCATTTTTCTTTATTTTGTTTTTAGCTCAGTTTAAAAGTAACAATTCAATGTGTTTTCATGTAAACACATACTTAGAAACACATTTCAAATTGCTGAGAGCTCTCACATTGCACTATAAATTAATCTTTACTGCTGGGCATTCATTTCCTATGGATATATTTCTAGTTAACTAATTTAATGAGGCCATTGAAATGTTTTGTCAATATTGTAGAATCATAGAGTGGTTAGTAGACATGCAAGCTTTAATTTGATATAGACTTTAAGAGTCTTGCTGCTGGTTAATTTGAAAATTTTATTCTGCATGTATTTATTTTAAGTTTTACCAATCTTTCATGTTTTTTTAATTATTTTTAAGAAAGTTAATATTCTGCTTAAACTTTAATTTCTAGTATTTTTTTTATGATACTGATTTTAGTTGAGATTTTTAGTTCAGTTTTTAAGGTGATGAGTAAATCTTATTTTTTGCTTCAGTGCTGTTTGAAATTGTACAAATACATATAATGTGGTAAAAGTCTTTTTTTCCTTCAAGAAAAAGGAAAAAAAAAATAACATAAAGCATGACTGTTGGGATGTACAGTTAATACAGATTTTTTCTGTGATATTATTGTAAATGAATATAAATATATATATTTGCTTTAATCTTTTTTAACATATACAATACAATACAATACAATAATTTCTATAGCGCATTATAATAATGACACTCTAGTGCGCTTCACATTAAAATAGACATAAGCTTACAAAATGGCGAACAAATTACTTTAAAAAATACATGATACATATTTGTGCATAAAAATAGGATATCTAAAAGACTTTATGTGTACTAACATGTAACATATACATGCATCCAGCAAGTTGCATGATTCTCTACATGTGTAAACAATGGTAGAGTAAATGATTTTATTTGTGAAAAATTCAAATTGTTATTTCATTATGCTTGCAATTTGATTTATGCATTATTAAAAATTAATCAGTGATGATTAAAGATTGTAAAGAGCCGTGTGTCCTCATAATGTGATGATTTTGTACTTCCAGTGGTGTTCGCGATGATGACGATGACTTTATGGATGTCGATGATGATCCAGATTATGGCTCAGAAAACATTGAAAAATCACCAAAGGTAAAAACTCACAACTGCTTATTGTTAGTGTCAATCAAAACTGAACAAATCAAACACTTTGAAATTCCTTAGAGTTTAATATACTAGTAAATGAGAAATTTAACACTTGATTAACAGTCAACTTGTGAAAATTTGGGGTCTTTGCATACTGCGAAAATAGTGAGAATTGGACTCCTTTGTTAATTTGTAAGGGTGGGGTTTGAACATTCTCTGTTCTGATTGTTTTTTCAGGGTAAGAGGGGGAGAAAGAAAAGTATGTCAGAGAGTGGGTCAGCTAAAAAGAAGTACAAGAAAAGAGGACGCAAGCACTCGCCAGACAAAAAGACAAAGGTAGAGTCCTCCTTTGTATGTAGAGTCAATAACAAAAAGAATTGTAGAATTCTGAATTTTGATTTTATGTGTTTAAAGTGCATACATGTAGTTATCTTTTTACACTTTAATTATTGTTCATAGAAAGCCAAAGAGAATGCTTCCTTTGAATCAAAGAGAAAGAGGTCAGAGATAGAGGAAGTTCGTGAGAGTGAGATTGATGAGCCAAAACAATGCTTTGGACCTGGCTGTATCGAGGCAGCCAGACCAAATTCCAAGTATTGTTCAGATGATTGTGGTCTTAAACTAGCCAAAAGGTATGGTCATTTCATTTTATACACAATACACTGATAATGAAAATAAGCAGGAAAAAATAACAACAAATAAAATGTGTTTGTGAAAAACTGATGACCCCATATGGCAACATAGTGAGGGTTAAACTTTCTGCAATTCAAATCAAATTTGTTGGTACCCAAAGTAAGGCCTTCTCACAAGAAATACAATTGTGAAATATGAAACCCCTAGCACCACGTGGGTAAAATTCATGGCAAAGGTTAAAGTTTTTTTTTAAAGTAGATCAGACTCCAAGGTGTGTGATTAAACATATATACCTGAATACCGCTATCGTTACAGAGATGCGCACACCTCAAAAGAATCATATCCAATTTTATTGAAATATGCTGTTGTGATTTTGAAATGTCTTTATCAACTCATGTACTCTCAAATGCTCATCAGAGATGTGCACAAGTCGATAGTCAAGCCAAAAAAGTTTTTCAATTGTAATGAGTGCAGTTGGATATATATCGTTAAAATAACCCAATGTATCTGAAAGATACATCTATACTTGATATGAAACAAGTTGTACATAGCTGAAAATGTTGCATTTTTATTTTGTTTTAATAATTCTTGTCAGCTTTGTGGAGAATTAGGAATTTTATTTCATTTGCTGTTCAGTAATGCTGAAAAAATAAATTGAAATCTCCATTCATTTGACATAAAAAAAAATTATATACAGTTTGTTTAGATTTTAGATATATATGTGTATTGTCTGTTTAATTATATGCTACTTTCATCTCTGCTGCTTTGCACATAGAATGAAATATATGGAGATAACAATCAGTTTTCAAGCTCAAAAGTCCATTAAACAATACAATAGGAGCAAATCAAACATGGACCTTCATAACATCAGAGGTGGGATCAGTTGCCATGGAGGACTTAGCATACCCTGCCAAACGGTCACACCTGCCATAGAAGTTTTATCATACAGATATTACTAAAGAATAATAGACTTAGTGGTACAAATTCTAAGGAAAAAAAATAACATATACATGTATATTGTTGAATTCATACTTTTAAAATACTGTTTGTAAAGTTAGTTATCATCTGTTTTAGACAAGTTTTGTTTATTTTTATTCATTCATGTGTATATGAAGTTCACAATTTAAGATAATGTTCTGTCACTCTCTAACATTTACAACACAGTCTTTGTTTATTTGATGTACAGGATCAGTTTAATTTCTCCTGAATCATTTAATCCTACCCACAGCCTCCCCTCACTGTCCAAACTCAAATCACTAGGTTTATCTAAACCACAATTGTCCACACATCTCAAGAACTGTCCATCCTGATCTAGGATGTGTAGACAGGCATTGTCATAATCGATCACAATGATCTGACTCATGGAGTCTGTCACTATTTGTCTAGGTCTAAATGACTTCTCTCTCCTGGCTGGTGTACCATCATATCGGAATCTAACTCTTCCTGTCTTGTCCACCACAATCACGATGTCAGCATTACGATCAGAGACACAGATGTCTCCATTGTTGTTCTCTGCCATAGGAAGGGAAAGTAAACCCTCTTTAAATATAAGATTTTTATGTTCATCTTCATAAATTTCCTGTTTCAATATTTTCCCCTGATAACGTAGTATTTTGTTTTGTTTGTTACTATACACATTGACCAGTATGTCCCCTGACCTTGTACAGCACAGTCCATATGGTCCCCAGCCACGTGGTGTTGTGAACAGTACCATTGTCTTTCCACTTCTGACAATGTTCACTGTTTCATTGATAAAATCACTGTATATCAGTTCTCCCTGTTTGGTCACAGAGATGTCACTAGGATTGTATTTACATGTGGTGGTAACAGATTCCTGTAGAGACCCGCGTATGTCAACACGCCTTATAACTTTGTCATTACCACTAACCCAAGCTTCATCTGTTCCTACACAGGCCACTCTCCATAGAGGTTTAACTCCAGTAGGAATGGTGGCTATCACTCTGGCTTTGTCTAATAACTCTGTCATAGCCAAATGGGAGACTTCATCTGTCAGACTGGATAATGCAGACTGTGTTAATGTAGCCTTGTATTTTTCTAATGATATGCTGAGTTCTCTCCCTTGGACTGTATGTGTATTCAGTGAAGGAATTTCAACGTCAATATCAGCTGGCATGTTTTTGTATTCCGTCAGTTTGGATTTGTAGTTGTTGACATCAGACACTCTGTTAGTCTTCAGGATTCCTTTGTTTTGTTCAACAGTTTGCATCATATCTGGAATAAGGTTTTTTAACTTGGATTGATGGGATTGTAGAGAAGTGAGATTATTTTCTCTCATGGACTTGATCAAGGAACTAAGATTATTAAAGATGTTATCCACTTCTTGGTGCCATAGTTTTCTGTTTTTTTCTGCTTCTTTTTCCAGTTCATCAAATTTGGCTGTTGATTTGGAGATTTTGCCTGCTATATTATCCATTTTCTTTCTGTACTTTGGAATAATGATGGATTCAATTTCTTGGTTTTCTTTTATTATTTCTTGTTTCTTTTCATTGAAAATCTCTTGCATTTCCACAATCTTGTGTCCACTATGGGAACTGAGAATGCATTTCAGACAGACATGGACATGACATTGTTGGCAGTGGGCCTCACATCTCTGGTTGGAGTGAACCTTACACTCAGGAAACACCGGCTGTATCTTCCTGTTGGTGAAATGAACAATGTCGTGTGTTTGGGACTTGAATTTGTCCACATGTTTACTGACACAGTCCACACATAAACTGACTTGACAGTTGTTACAGAACTGCTGAGTAGGCTTAGGACAAAGGTCACAGGTTATGACCTCCTGAGCCCAGGAAGTAGGAGTGGCCATTGTCTCTAGTGGAACTGAAAGTATATTGATTTTAAAATGAATATATACCAGTAAATAAAAGTCACATGTAGTAGGTATATGAATTGACTATTTCAAACACATTTTAGCTGTGATACATACATGTATTGTGTGACCTTTAAAATCATTTTAACAATGGGCGATTATTTTATACAGTCATATGATATTTTTGTTTGATTTTCAGTAATAGGGGGTTGCTGATCAATATAGGGTCTGAAAACCTTAATCAAAAACTATTTTTTTAACAGTTGTTTGGATACTTGGCAAATATTGTAAAGAACTACGAACTCTAACTGTTGATTCCCGCCTACATTTTGCACCCATTAAATTCAATATTAATGGCAATTTGGCCATCAAATTTTTGTTTAATACAAAGAATAGTTCTATGGTAATTGATTAATCATTTTAATTCCAGCACTAGATAGTAAATTATCATTAATTCCAGCTCTTGAAAAAAGGGGGGTGGACGATATTTTCTAGTGAAATCGAACTTTCAAGAATCACCATATTTTGAAATTGTCTTATATATGATTAAGTGTATCTCATATCTTTTCTTATGTTTTCCGCAAATAACTAAAACATATATAAATCAATAAAATACAATTATATAGTTGTTAATAGCTTAAACACTTGTGAAAAATCAAAATTTTTTCGTTTTTTGTCTATAAACATATGTTCCCCCCGTGAAACACAAAAAGCTTTGGCATAAATTTGTAAAATGACAGTCAATATTACCTGTAAAAATGAATTTTTGTTTAAAGGGGGGGGAAAGATGTTTTAAAAATATTTTGCATTTTCCGTTAATTTCTATAGTGGAAAAACAAATGTGTTACCAAAATTATAGAGTTATCTCTCTTTGATATCCCAAATAAGTAACGTTTTATGAAAATTTATACAAATGTCTATAAAAATTTTGAAAATCATTCGAATATGTTAACTTTTGAGAATTGACTTAGAGATAGGCGGGAGAACAATACTGTAGTTCGTAGTTCTTTATGGTCTGGGTCTGAGGGCAATATGCATTTAAATTTGCTTTAATTTGTCCCAAGAACCAAATTGTTTTTCTGAGCCTATTATATTCCATATTAGGGTTATAAATTAGGAAAAAATTTAAAATACATTTTTAAAAAAAATAAATAAATATAAAAAAAAACAGTAAATTATGCTGCACATGGTTATACCCCCGCAAACGAAGTTTAGGGGGGTATATTGGAATCAGCATGTCCGTCCGTCTGTCTGTAGACAAGATTTTGTCCAGACCGTTTCTCAGAAACTATTGGCTGGATTTGTCTGAAAATTTTTACACTTATTATTCACCTTATGAAGTTGTGCACCTGGTATCTTCATCATGATTGGGTAATTTTTCTGCATTTTACAGGTGTTTTTTCTTTTTCATTTTATGTTTTTGTTTGGCTCATAACTAGAAAACTGTTAGACTGACAATCATCAAACTTGGACAGTTTATGCATCTTGTGTAGAAGGTGTGTCACGACTTTTTTTAAGGTCACCGTGACCTTTAATTTAAGTGAAATTTTAAAAAGAAACCTGTCTTTTACTATTGAATTACACAATCCCAAAAATGTAAGAGTGTTTCTGTATCCCTGTTTAAAAAATGTTAAATTAAGAAAATAATATTTTTTCATTATGTACTTTACAGCAATCTGTATCAAATGTTATTTTATAAGAGATAATCTACCTCTCCCAAGGGTATAATTATCAAGCACTGGTCAAGGAGAATTTTGATAACAGAAAATCGCATCCCTTGGCATTTATCAGTGGACATGCATACAGTCAAAGATTAATTAATGAGTTCAATTAATTAATGAGTACCAAGATGGTAAAACTTTTATATTTGGAGATATAAGTAAAACAATATCATCAAAATCATTAAATATTTTGCTTATGTCAATGAAGCAATATATTTACAGAGTTCGTTGTCAATTAACACCTTAGCCTCTCTATCCATGGTTTTCTGAATGAATTCAAACTTATTTATAAAACTTTGAAATATACAGCCAGAGAAAGTGATAAAATAGATGAGTTTAACGCCTCCTGGCAAAAATGGCAATCCATACTCTCAGACTAATACCAATAAACCCTGTCTCAAAACTAGTTTTGCTACCTACTCTATCTATAACCCACTTTCTTTTATAACATCATCTCTTTCTCTTTCTTTCTCTTGCATTCTCTCTCTTTCCTCTCTCTCTCTCTTTCTCTCTCTCTAAAAATGAATGTTGCAATGAAATATTGTGTTCATCTTGTATGTTTGTACTGTATAGCATTGTGGAATTCAAATTAAAAAAAAAAAAAAAATGAGTTCAATGTAGGAAAGCTAGCTGTCTCAATCATATCTGTTAGCTCTGATTAAGGTCCTTTGGGAATTAGACAGAGGGCTGGTCAGTTTAAATAGCATATGTCATATGATGGCCAGCCTTCTATTTCTAAAATCAATTTGTTATGGATTAAGTTTTTAATACTAAGTAGTTAAATTGATATATTTTTTAAAAAAATGAAAATATCAAGTAACAAATTTCAGAGCATCATGTCCCACATGAAAGATATGTTTGTGGGGAAGGAGCATTTGTCAAGCTATAATGCATCTATTTGATGATTATTTGTTATAATTAATGCTCACACCACAGGAGATGTTTAAACAAATATCAAAAGGAATAAAAAAAAATTATGGAAATCCTTTTAAAGGTTGTCATGATTTCTTCACACTCTAAACTGTTTATATTAATTGAATGAACAATATTTGACTGGAGTATCATGCTGTGTTGGGCACTTTATTATTTTTAAAATGAATTTGATATAAAGTTATAAAGATTCATTTGATTCTGTATAATATTTCTTTTTTCAACAATTATTTTTCCGAGCAGCATGACAAATAATTGCAATTTCTTTTTTTAATGAAATTTAAAAAAAACTGTTACAGTGTATTAGTATTGATGTTTTATTTGGTTGCACCTTAGATTCATAAATTGAAAAAAATTAATTTGCATGCAATTATATTTCCACTCGATTTATTTTAAGACAATAGTGAACACCTTCTAATAGATCCATAAAATATTTGTGAATTGGCACCTACTCTGAAAAAACACAGCGGGGGTATTTGTCCCTATTGGACAGTTCTAGTTTCTATATATTATTATCATTATGCCATAATTATCTTGCACAGTCTTCCATGTTTGCAGTAAAATACCTGATAATTCATGAATATTATAATCCCCACTGCACATGTACATGTAAATTTACATGTAACTTGGTCAATTCTGTAACTTTGGAATACCAATGGAGAACAGTGTGGCATGTGAATTCACAGGGGCCTGTAACATACTGTATTTGATTTTACGTAATCACTATATGTATACAAAAAGAGTCCTTTTTGTATATATATATAGTGATTACGTAAAATCAAAAACAGTATGTTACAGGCCCCTGTGTGTGAATTAACATGTTAAAAATTAAACATTACTAAGGACCAATATCCCTTTTTGGGGGGACTGATATTCTTTCTGTATATAATAGTTTAATATTAGAAAGAATGAAGTTTTAACAATGAGAAACATATTAACATAATGATTGTCTTAATTTGATTTTTAAAATGATCAACTGTTTAGAAAAGCTGTATTGAATTACCTTTTTAATTTTAATCTTTCAAGACTAATTGTAAGGAAAGAATAATCATTTTATCTCCCCACCCCAATATTCACCTGACTGGGAACTACTTTCGGTTTGGTATTTCATACTTCCTGGTTTCCTATCTATCAGCTAGGTCAGTGAGCATGTGCAGAGTCTGTTAGCTCTCTTTATAATCAATGATCCATGTGTGTCTTCTTTTAAATACTTAGATAGAGGTACTGAAATATTTAAAAGGCTGAGTTATCAAACAGAGTTGTTTCTCTTTCTCATTGTATATACGGTTATACTAGATATTTGATGTGATCATTTCTCTCATAAAGGAAAAAGTATTGTTTGACAAAAATATCTTAGAGTATTTATCTACCTTAAAAATTAAAATCTATATAAGGGTAATGAAAAATGAAGAGATCTCGATATAAAGTAATACTAATTTCTACTTTTTTCCTATAGACAATGTGCTCAGGTGAGTGCATGATGTGGCCCTTGGGCCTCTTGTTTTCTACAATTCTAGATGGATGTACATTTGTAATTTCCTGTCAACTTTTAAAAATTATCTCTGTAATTACTCATCAGAAAAAATGCAATATAATGTTTCTTTGATATGAGTTGCACTCCTGTAGCTAAATACAGTTTGATAATTTATTGATCATGCAGACAACTGATCATTTAGTCTAAGAATTGAGTTTTCCAGACATGCGTGTGCCTTCATGTTAACTCAAGGAATTCTAGAGCAGATTATTCATGAAGCTTTTTCATCATTTTATCTGGAGATATATTTTTTAATACATTACAGTCGGATCTACGAGCTCTTGCCTCCTAAGATTTCCCAATGGCAGAGCAGCCCTTGTGTGACGGAGGAGAACAATAAGAAGATGCTGGAGAAGATCAGACGCGAGCAGCTGGAGTGTCGACAGAAACTGGCCGAGCTCGACCTCAGGCACCAGGAGCTGGACGGCATCGTGGACCGTGCAAAGAACGTCACTATAGCCCCAGAACAAGATGTGAGGCCATTTTTAGTATAAGATTTAACTCATGGTGTTCAATCATGGTGTACGTATTTACAAATCATGTTCCACAAGTGTTGGGCGGGGGACACAATGGACATCTAAAGTTTTACACAGGAATACATGTACTACTGATGAAGAACAGTGTAACTGTATGTCTGTAATGACAGTTGAAAATTGTGGTCCACAGGTCTCTTGTAGTACAAATGACAGATGTATTATATTACAATTTTCTTTTGCAGGAGAAGGATAATGAGGATGATTTGGAGTTAAGTCTGTACTGTGTCACGTGTGGTGCCGAGTTAAATCAGAAAGGAGCATTGCGTCACATGGAAAAATGCTTCTCCAAGGTTTGTTAAATGCATGTCTTAAGTAATCTTTGCAAAGTTGATATACTTTATCAGAAATGACTACTTAAACAGTATTTTAATATGCATGAAACATAAGACACTGTAGACATTGGTATAAATTTTCTGCATAAATTTGTCACAGCTAGAGTACTTACAGTACAATAAAAATACACATTGCAATTTTAAAAATCTGCAGAATTTTTTTACCTGAAGATTGAACAGAGAATGTAATTCCACAGAATCTTGACCCCTTAGAAAAAAAGTATGCTAAAACTTGACAGAAAATCCCCTCTTTCTTTAGCTAAGAAGAGAGGTAAAGGCAGTTTTGATGTGTGTTTTTAACGTCTTAACAGTTTGAAGCCCAGACATCTTTCGGCTCTATCTACAAGACAAGGATTGAAGGGAATTCCATGTTTTGTGATTACTATAACACACAACAGAAGGTGTACTGTAAACGACTCAAAGTCCTCTGTCCAGAACACACCAAGGAGCCAAAGGTATCGAATGTCTCTTTCATACTCTTTAATGTAGAACAAATTTTTTGTAGAATCATTACGACAGGAAAATTCTATACTCTACCTAACTCTTAAGAAAAATTAATAGAAAAATAGTTCAGTTTCTACTAACATTCTCCTGTATAATAAATTGTGGTAAAGCCCAGACCCCTTATCAACAAAAGGGGGATTGAACTCTAAATTAGAATAACGTAATGTGTGAAATATTTGCTAGTCATTAATTTAAATCACAAAGAGTTGACTGAGGAGACATTATATTTCAGGTTGGACCAGAAGAGGTGTGTGGCTGCCCTCTGGTGGTGGACGTCTTCACAGAGACGGGGGAAATCTGTAGGGCACCAAAGAAGAAGTGTAATAAACACTACTGCTGGGAGAAATTACGCCGAGCTGAAATTGACATGGAGCGCGTTAGACAGGTCTGAAAAT